GACACTGCTGTGCGCAATTGGCTGCCACGTTTCGCCCACAAATATACAGTCAATTCACTTTACAGCATATTCTGTGAAACGCTTTGAAACGTCTAGAAGACGTGAAAAGTGCTATATCAAATGCAAGGATTATTATTATTATTATTAAATGCTTTGAGACGATTCAATGATGAAATAAGGCCTTGTATTATAAGCAAGGATTCTAAGGATTATCTTATGACAGCCGATGTTGTTGCTCGGCCAGGCAAATCGTTCTACAGGTGGACTTTCAGCTAAATGAAACAATATATTGCTTTACCCTGATTCAATAGTTATAAAATAATAATCCTTGCATTTGATACAGCGCTTTTTCACGTCTTCGAGACGTCTCAAAGTGCTTCACAGAATATAAGACCATAAGACATAGGAGCAGGAGTAGGCCATTTGGCTCCTTGTGCCTGCCCCGCCATTTAATAAGATCATGACTGATCTTCTAACCTAATTCCATTCACCCGCCTTATCCCCATATCCCTTAATCCCTCTATTCTTTAGAAATCTATCAACCTCAGTCTTGAATATGTTCAAGGACTGAGCATCTACAGCCTCTGGGGTAGAGAATTCCACAAATTCACTACCCTCTGAGTGAAGAAATGTTTCCTCAACTCAGTAGAATATACTGTATAATGAATTGACTGTATATTTTGTGGGCAATTATTATATATAATAATCCTTGCATTTGACTTAGCACCTTATCACGCCGTTGAAACATACATATATGTATAACATTATAAATAAGCAAATGCAGCGATTAAATAAAAGTGGATTCATCTCAGCTCATCTAAGTTGGAGCTGCAGAAGTGGGCCTTCATCTGGCTTGAATCAAACCCTCTCGGACGCTATCTTGAGGGGCACTGTATAAATGCAAGTTGTTGTCGTTGAATGCTCCTGGGACTAAGCAAAAGAGAATCACTACATTGTGATATAGCTATCAGAATTATCTGTAAGCAGACCTGACATTTTTTAAAAAAAAATTAGGAACACTTCAGCAGGGTACACATTCTGTGGCTCCGAATGGAAATCTAGTAAGTAGTTATTCTACTCATCTTATATCTTATTATACTGCAACTTATACTGAGGGGAGTGTGTCTAAGTGATTAGGGCACAACTGGATCTGTTCTCAAATTAAGTTTAGTCTTCCCAACACTGGTAATTACCTACTGCATGTCCTTGTTAAAAGGAAGGTTATTCTTAGCAATGTGTCCCTCACTTTATCAGTTCGCTATACGTGAATAAATTAGTCATCTACATGTATTTAAAAGGCACTCAAGTCTCTTTAAGTTTGTGATTTATTATGATTTTTGCAGTCGTTAAGTCTTTATTAGACGTTCCAGATAGATATTAAACGAAGGTTATAGATTGAACTATAATCTTCCTCTTTCATTACTAGAATAATAAACCTCAAATAAAACTCTCTCTACACTTATTCCGCACACATATATCAAACGGACATAAATGGGTACATTTTTGGCACAATTGATTTAGTATTGTCTGAACAAGTTCCGAACTGAAAATATTGACTGTATAATTTTTATCTATTTTGATATAATGCACTACTTACATCAATGTTTTAAGCTTTGGTTTCCTGAAAACTCATTTAAAGAAACAATAGAAATCTGTGTTGAGGCTAAGGTTTACATTGCAGCACTAATAGGCTGCAGATAAGTAAAATTTTGGAGTTATTATTTCAAAGTAAAGGTTTGAATGCAGCCTTATTCTTGATAGAAAATCAAATACCTTGTCTATGTTATTTTTATTGGATATTTCTGCAGTATATTTCTACAATCATAGACTTTAAACTACCACACGATTAAACCAATTCGTTCAAAAAGCATAAAAGTTGATTCTTATTTTCTATGGCCATTTACTGAATCAACTGCAGAACAAATGCATGTTAGCTCATTGTTGCTTTGTTACAGTTCCAATGTCATCTCAAGGAATCCCGTTATAATATTAACTCAGGGTTTGTAAACATACCAATGGTATATCCCCTACCCTCCCTGCCCTCCATCCCTCCTGAACCCCAGCTCGGGTCCAAATCCTTGACTGTCTAGTGCCTTGGGACGTCCACCCGATGTGAAAGGCACTATACAAATAGGTCAAGCTGTCAAAATGTGCATATGTTCCTGTCTACAACATGTCATTAGGATGCTCATTTGATCTATTGTACGTTAGTTGTTTTGTATTTGTTCACAAACTCCTGAGTTGTCAAAACCTGTCTCCTCCTCTGACGGCATTTGACTCCTTCCACCCTGCGTGGAAATATTCAACTCCTTTTTCCTTCTACTGGAAAATCCAATCAAGTGAGGGAAGTGAAATGTAGCCACTGATGTCTATTTAGACCTACCTACCATCGGTGGCCGGGCTTTCAGCCTCTCTGCCCCCATACTCTGGAACTCCATCCCATGGTCCCTTCGCCTCGCTTCCTCCCTCGCCTCCTTCAAGGTCGGATCTCAAGACCTTTCTCTTCGACCGTGCCCTTGGTCTCCCTCCCACCTCTGCCTTCCCTCACCCCTACACCACCCCTCCCCCATGCTCGGGCCCCGATACCTGACTGTTCAGCGCTTTGGGATGTCCTCCTGACGTGAAAGGCGCTCTATAAATGTAATTTTGTTGTTGTTAGTGCATCTGTAAATTTAGCACAGACCAGGACTGTATGGTGTAGACCTGTATTCCCTTCGAGGAGTCCAAGATTGGTATATAAATGATGAATAATGCTTAAAACTGGCAAAGGCTACAATTATCATAGAATCATAGAATTATGCTGTCTGTGCCGGCTCTTTGAAAAGAGCCATACAATTCAATCCCACTCTCTCCCCATAGCCCTGCAAACTTGTCCTCCCCAAATAATTATTTACTTCTCCCTTAACGATTGTCAGGTTGTTCTTTTGTAGCTCACACCACAACTGCAGAATTCTCTATCCTCTCTTCCCCTTTTGCAATCCCCATTACTCAAATCAAATACAGTAAAGATCAGAAGCCAATTATTCAATTAAGATTCATTTATTTAGATTCTTATTCCAAAATATTTTTCCTTTTGTAAATTGTCCAAATAGACTCAGACAATTGGCTCCAAAACTGCAAATTCTTAATTAATATTGTTTGGAACAAAACATCTTTTGATTCCTTGAATAATTTTGGAGTGAGAGAAACTGGCTGCTGTCAACGATTTAGAAAGCACGGCGCCACGAGCTATATCCAGAGTGACAAAGGTTACTGCAAGCAAAGGCGCTGGATCTCCATACCAATGTGAAGCATTAAAACTGGCCAACACAGCTGTGCCAAACTGGAGGACTGAATATCCAAAACACTCATAGAATCATAGAATTATACAGCACAGAAGGAGGCCATTCAGCCCATCGTGCCTTTGCCGGTTCTTTGTAAAGAGCTATCCAATTCAATCCCACTCCCCCGCTCTCTCCCCATAGCCCTGCAAACTTGTCCTCCACAAATAATTATCTACTTCTCTCTTAAAAGTTGTTATCAAATCGGCTCCCACCACCCTTTCAGGCAATGCATTCCAGATCCGAACAACTCGCTGTGTGAAAAAAATTCTCCTCACCTCCCATTTCTTTTAATAACTATTTTAAATCTGTATCCTTGGGTTCCCAACCCACCCGCTAGAATAATCCCAGTTTCTCTCGCCTCTCCTGATAACTGAAGCCCCTCATTCCTGGTACCATCCTGGTAAATCTCCTTTGCACCCTCTCCAATGCCTTGACATTCTTCCTGAAATGTGGTGCCCACACATTCTCTGGCTGAGGCCTAACCAATGTTTTATAAAGGTTCATCATAACTTCCTGACTTTTCTATTCTATTTAGAAAGCCTAGTATCCCGTATACTTTTTTAACAGCTTTATCTACCTGTCCTGCCACCTTCAAACATTTACTTATATGAACCCCCAGGTCTCTCTGTTCCTTCACCCCCTTTAAGATTGTACCATCAGCTTATATTGCCTCTCCTCATTCTTCCTCCCAAAAGGCATCACTTCACATTTCTCCACATTAAACTTCATCTGCCACGTGTCTGCCCATTTTACCAGTCGGTCTACGTCCATTTGCAATCTGCTACTATCCTCCTCACTGTTACTACTGTTCCTAACTTAGTATCATCTGCCATCTTGGAAATTGTACTCCCTATACCCAGGTCCAGGTCATTTATATAGATCAGAAACAGCAGTGGTCCTAATACTGACCCTTGGGAGACATCACTGCACACTTCCCTCCAGTCAAAAAAAACGTTCACCACCACTCTGCTTTCTGTCTCCCAGACAGTTCTGTATCCACGCTGACATGACTCGACGAGGGCTCAGATGTTTGGATGTTTTCACTGAATACCTGAGTTTATGTGAATGAAAATTAATGGGAAATCAGTCAGAAAGTCCCATTATGAACGCCATCATGAATGTTTCAGGTTATTTCTTAAATAAAATGTTTCTCGTAAACAGTAAGTACATGCTTCACAGAATGTACTGTAAAGTGAATTGACTGTACATGCCTTGAGTTTTTTTTAGTCCTTTAAAGTGGGGGTTAAAATGCAACATTTGTCAGCCAGAACTTGCAGTATTAAATATGATTTCTGCTTTCTGACTCAAATTGCAGGAAACAATGACTAATTTTAATAACAATGGCAACAAGACCCTGAATGCCAGTGCTTGATTTCCTTTCTGACTTTCCCTCAGCCAAGAAAAGGTCTGAAGGCAAAACACTGGCTTTGAAAAAAGCCTTTGTCAATATTCGCTGATTGCTATTGTTTTTACCACTTTTCCTTGGATATTCATCAATTTCTGTTGCAAATCAGAAGTGGCTATTTGTGCAAAGATGTCCACTTTGTGAAAACACAGTTTGAGACACTGCGGAAAATTCTTCCTTATACAAAACAAGACCAACAAATCCAGGATACTTGGCAAATACTTGTGCTCCTGTAGCTACTTGCTTTGACACCAAAGGAGAGACTTAATAAGTTATGAAAAACAAACTTTTAATAAGACGGTTTACTTGACATCAAGAAAAAATATGTTCCCATCGATTTCCTCAATCATTCTGTGCATCTATAAAATCAGCATCAACATGAAAATACATGAACCTCAATCTTTTCTAAGCTTGTGTATTCTGGGAATCTGGTCCCAATTAAGTTTAAGTAATTGCTAATTCTCTTGTGCCTTTTATTAAGCAGTGGTTAATGTTCTACAAGTTCTGGTCATTACTTAGTGTTCAAATGCTTGTGAGTTCAACTCTTTTTCCAGCATTAGGTCTGTACAAAAGCATTACCTCTGCTGAGTACATCATACCAAGCTGTGTAGGAGCTCCACCACTGGTCAGTGTGACCAGTTCACATCAGTAGTGCACAATTTAACTCATCTATTAAGTAACAGTAAACACTGTTAGAAGTGACATGTAATATCTCGAATAAGTCACAAGAAGCTTGTAGACGCCACAAGTTAGGATAGTGTCAAATTAACATCCCTCCAAACAAACCAATTCCGAATAATGTACAACTGTATCCACTTGTGAGGATACATTCTCGTTCTCAGAGGGACAAATTCTCAGATGGTCACAAATTTAGCAACCTTGGCAAAGTGAAGGGTATCATTCCACCCTGGTCTAAGTTTAACAGCTATGGTGCCGTAATTTTACTGTACAATTGGAAATCTCACCCCCTCAATGTTAATAACTACTGATCAGCAAAGAGAAGGATGTCCCATTCCATCCCGTTTGTTTCCTTCCCCCCCATCATCACCAGTAAATTAATCCTAACCAGCAGAGATTCACCCCTCAGGTATTTTAATAGTGTTTCTTGTTGCCTTTTTTATTCAGTGTGGCCACACTGTATATGTAGCACTTTGTACCGGCCACAGAATTCATTTTGGCTCTGATTCTTCATTTGAGGCCATTTCTTCAACTGTTCCAAACCATTCAACAACAACCTGCGTTATCAACCGATTTACAATCTATTGCACTTTCATTATAGGCTTCTGACCTGCGGAGATGAAACAAAATAGCAATAGGAAATAGATAAATGGTACATAGTTAGCGACCATAATGCTAGTCGATTCTCATCTCATTCTACCAGTGTTTAAGCATTTTTGGTTCTTTAAATATCTTGACAGTACATTTTTTTTAGGTAAAGGACCGCATGCTATCAAGACTAGTTTGTGTAAAGTTCGGCTGGATGCATGTGACACCTCCCGAAGTTGGATTAGAAATTCTGCTGCCTGCGTTTCTTGGCATCCATGGCGTCTAAGATGGGCTGACGTTTAGCCTGGTATCTTTGGCGCAGGTCTTCGATTTCTCGTTCCATCATTGGATCCAGTGCAGTCAACCGCATTTGGAGCTCCTCGAAGCTTAGGTTTCTCAGCTATTAGAATAGGAAGGCAGAAATGAGCAACGTTTTAAAAGCAGAAGAAGCAGTGGATTCATTCAGTTATAAAAAATACTGCTGTAAAAGATGACAAATAAAAACTCCTCACATCAAGCCACTTTGTTCTAGAAAATAAGCCACAATATCAGCTAGTTAAGACTAACTTAAACCAAGATTCATGACATTACAGAGCATGAGAAGTCCTGCATCTTAGAATTAAAATACCTGAAGCTGAAAAATGTCCAATTTACTCTGATCCAAGTGCAGAGGATCATGATCCTTCATGTACCATGGAGTTTACTAGTTCTTCACACTAGTTCCAGTGAGTGTACAGGTGCTATTATTAACTAATAGTTATTATTAAGATTGCTTCAATTGATGATCACAGCTCTCTGAATCAAACTGCAGTTTACAACAATAAATGCATGATCACAGCTCCCTGAACATCAGAATAGCTTAATTGCAATGTTAACCCCAGCCAAATAAAAAGAATACAAAGTACCGTAATTTTGAATAAAAGCTAATACAAAGAATGCAATCTTCAAATCCAATTTAATAAAATTAAAATAAAATTACTAACACTCATCTTATCGCTTGTTCTCTTCTACTTTATCTTCCTCCTAATTCCTCTGCTCTGATTTTTAGGTTAATATTATTTTCTACCTATTCTAATTCTTTGCTCACTTCAAAATCAAGTTCCTAGAGCTCCCCTTACGGCCTTAACCTCCTTCAAAAGGCATTGCTTGAGCTGTTTGAGATGGATTCTAATCCGCCTCCCACAGGAAGGAGGACAGGGTAACACATTGTACTGGAACAACACCCTTCCAAGTTCAGGCAAAACATTGTTCACAGGTCTATAATAACCCAACACAAATAGTACAATGGCTTTATATGGACAACTATGAAAAGAACATTCCCTCTTGATAAATTACCTTGGAAGATGTAATTGCCTGCCCTAAAAGGCAATTTACTAGGCTAATAAATACAGGACAGTGAATTAAGTGATGGGAAAATCAATAATGTAAGTGTAGCCACCCTTACACATTCAGGGCAGGTAGCCAGTGGAGGGTTTTCAGAGCAGGCTGTTCCAGGAAGCCAACACGTCTGTAAGTACCTCATTGATGTTCCCAAAATCTATATTAAAAACCTAATGCCAATAAAAATATATTTTTTTGAAGGTATTATTACCCCCGGAAAGCAATCTGCCAATCAATTAACAACCAGGTTCCTAATTACTGCTAGATAAACAGAGGCGTGTGGAGTAAGGAAACTTGCCTAAAGTTTCTCCCAGTCTGGAAAACTAACCCGAGTCCTCTCACTTGCGAGGTGAGTGCTCTGACCACTATGCTACAGAATATGGTATTAAAAAGGTGAGAAAATTGGAGTAATATTGGTGACTTATTTTAAAAACGGTTTAATTTTTACTATGGTTTGGTTTGAAAATTCTCCTTTAGCACTCAGGAGGCTTTTTTAAAATTATTGTACGGTATATTCATCCACTAATGCCCAGCTAATGCCAGTAATACTGTAGCATTTTCTAAAATAACAATGTATGACAATAATTTGGATTCTGCCTCTCCAGTGGTATAAAATCAAATGTGGTAAATGTATTAGTCATGCACTGTAAGATTAGTTTAATTTATTCCTTGTAGAAAAAAATTCACTGCAAACTGGAGATTAATTATTCCCTATGTAAAATAGCCAAAAAAAGCAAACTACACCCTCCATCTCTTGCTCGCACGCTCAGTTATGTGTCAGCCTCAATTGGGATAACTCTCGCCTCTGAGTTAGAAGGCTGCAGGTTCAAACTCCACATTGGGACTTGGCACTCATATATACATCAATGCAGATAAATCATAACTGAGCCCTTTTCCCTTGAAGCAACGAGTTATCAGGAATTTACTGTAAGGCTGGGTAACAAACACTACCCAGCATTACACTTAAACAGTCAATTTCTCACCCACTACAGTTACAAGTATGGTAAAGCGGAGTTTATTACGATAAACTGGGAAAAATAAAAATATCAATCAATCAGGAAAACCTTCCTCAATAGAGCCGTTAAAAATACTCGTCATTTTGGATCACTGTAATTTAAAAGCTGTTTCTTCCGGAAAACGTAAATACTTTAATTACTTACCTGTTATATATTGCTAGGCTACAGCTATTCGAAGCCTGCAGTTCAAAAGGTAATGTACTACCATCGTATAATTATGCAAATTTTTACCACATAATACACAATGAAGCTTTGATGTTTAATTGAAATTTGCACGATACGATGTAGGTCAGAGAGGGGTGTCTGCAATTAACTCTACTCAAACAAGAATGTGAAAAAATAAGCTCTTTGGCAAATGCCTTTTCAAGGGATTTTGAAGCTCCTTTGTGCAGGAATGGGGTGTTTTTGGCAAGTAATAAGATACATCGCTGGCAATATCACATACTGTGCTCCCCCCACGTGTTAGTGAGATCTCACTGTTTCTGAAAACAATGCTTATTTTAGTGCTCCTAAAACAGGAACTGGAAGACTTGTGAAAAAAGAGTGTTTAAAACTGCTGCTGTATAAGCGATGTACTTTAACCACAAGTTGCCGTGTGCTTGATCTTCAAATCCAATTAAAGATTGAGAGTTTGGGTGTCAGCGAGAGTCTGACACAGGGGGAAGATCCCTTGTCATTCCCTTCAGATTCCGCAGGTCCAACTGCTGAGAACTCACAAAAGAATGGTTTCTGTTTGCTAGTGTGTGGGTAAGGTAATACTCTCCAACGTGTCTATCCCCGGAATACACAATGAGGGTTAGCAGAAGCCAGGTACATTACGGCACTGCTGGAATCAAACAACAACAAAATTACATTTGTAAAGCATCTTTCATGTCAGCAGGATGTCCTAAGACGCTGATCAGTCAGGAATCAGGGAGGGCAGAGGTGGTAGGAGGGTGGCTGAAGGCATGGTCAAAAAGGAGGGTCTTGAGTCATGCCTTGAAGGAGGCAAGAGAGGGGGCAAGGTGAAGGGATTGTGGGATGGAGTTCCAAAGAGTGGGGACAGAAAGGCTGGTAGGGGGGGTTGGGCGGGAGACATGGAGCAGGCCGGAGCCTACTGAGTGGAGGGAGTGGACAGGTTGATAGGGGTCAGCAGGTAAGAGATGTAGGAGGGGGCAAGGCCGTGGAGGGTCTTGAAAGTGAGGACTAGGATTTTGAATTCAATCCTCTGAGGGATGGGGAGCCAGTGGAGTTGGGCGAGGGTGGGGGTGATGGGGTTACAGAGCCTGGTGCGGGAGAGGACACGATCTGCAGCTTGTGAAGGGAAGAGTGGGGGAGGCCGACAAGGAGGGAGTTTCCGTAGTTGAGCCTTGAGGTGACAAATGCATGTATGAGGGTTTCGGTGGCCTGAGGGGTGAGGCAGTGTCGGAGTCGGGCAATGTTGCGTAGTTGGGGGAAGGCAGAATAGGTCATGGCACGGATATGCGGGAGAAAGGACAGTTGAGGGTCCAATAAGATGCCCAGGTTCCTGACTGGCTTGAAAGGTGGACTGTGCAACCGTGAATGCTGATGCTGCCAGTGCCTGAGGTGTTGGCATGAGTCAATCAGGAGGGACTCAGCTGCAGAAAGTTGTCTCTCATCCAGGACTTGATGTCTGACAGACAATCTGTCAGGACGTCAGTTGTCCTGGAATCGAGGGTGAGGCAGAGAAATAGAGTTGGGTGTCATCCAAGTACATGTGGAAGTTGATCCTATGTCTGCAGATGATGTCACCAAGGGGGAGAACGTAGAAGTTGAAGAGGAGGGGATCGAGAACCACGTGTCATATTTCTCCCCCCGCCATCTCTAGTGATAATTATACTTGGAACAATGTGAACATGAGGATGAGAACACACTGCGTGGGGGGGTGACTAACATATCTAGGAAAATCTGTACCAATTAAGCAGATAGACTTCAATGCCGAGAGATGAATAAAATAATAATTGTTGCATTTGATAGAGTGCCTTATCACATCTTCGCGACGTCTCAAAGCGCTTCACAGAATATACTGTAAAGTGAATTGACTGTATACTTTGCGGGCGAAACGTGGCAGCCAATTGCGCACAGCAGTGTCCCACAAAGAGTCATAGATTGAGCGACCAAACTTTTAGTTTTTTTTTAAGGGATTATTACCCGGAAAAGTGATCCGCCAATCAGCTAACAACCAGGTTCCTACTTACTGCTAGGTAAACAGAGGTGTGTGGAGTAAGGAAACTTGTCTAGCATTTTGCCCTGCCCGGGAATCAAACTCAGGTCGTCTCGCTTGCGAGGTGAGTGGTCTAAGCAATATGCTGCAGGACTCCACAAATATTAGAACAAGAAGCAGTAAACAATGTCAGCCTGGCTCAGTTGGTAGCATTCTTGCCTCTGAGACAAAAGGTGTGGGTTCATGCCCCATGTTGGGACTTTGGGGTCATAAGCGAGGCTGACACTCCAGTGCTGCGGTGGTGCTTGATCTTTAAATCCATCAGTGTAAGAGAACATCTCAGAGCACTTTACTGAGTAGCAGCCTGAGCTGGGAAGAATTGATGGTGGAAAGCGCAGTCAAAGTGGTAGGTCTTGAGGCATGATTTGAAAGTTGAGAGGAAAGGGATTTGGGGAAGAGAGCTCCAGAGGAAAGCTGCTGAAGGCTCACCTGCTGATGGCAGAAAGCAGTGGGTGGGTATGGGATGAGGGTTAGTGAACATCAAGGAGATGCAGATCGAATGACTCCGATGCCTGCTTCTCTCCCAGGGATAGGTAATACTGATCAATACCTGGTTGCTCCCATTATCAAGCCTGATAATAATCCCTCAAGAAAAAAATTCAATAACAATTTGGTCACTCATCCACAACTGTTTGTGGGACGCTGCTGTGCGTAATTGGCTGCCTCATTTCGCCCACAAATATACAGTCAATTCATTTTACGGTCTATTCTGTGAAGCGCTTTGAGACATCTAGAAGATGTGAAAAACGCTATATCAAATGCAAGGATTATTATTATTAT